TCTTTTGAATTCGGAGACTAATATGATGAATTGTATTCGGAGACTAATCTTCTATTGTATTCAATGAATCTGCTGTTGCTGTGTGCTACTGTCTATATTCTTTCAAATAATATATTTTGTAACCTGCGCAAAAATCAGAAAAGTAAAAAAAAACCCAAATATTCATACTAATGGTGCCTCACCACAAAGTACGCCATTAGTGTGCCAAAGGATACTAATGGCGCATCAAGACAGAGTGCGCCATTAGTATGCTAAGTATACTAATGGCGCATCTATCTGCAGTGCGCCATTAGTGTGCCAAAGCACATGGTTAAATATGACTCCTGGGAGACACACTAATGGTGCATGGTGTTATATACTAATGGCGCACTGAATGGTGCGCCATTAGTATACCAGATACTAATGGCGCACCAGTGATGCGCCATTAGTAAAAATTATTAGTGACGTGCTACTAATGACGCACCGGTGATGCACCATTAGTAGGCAAAATCCGTGCGCCATTAGTAAGCCTTTTCCTAGTAGTGCGAACAGTGCATGCAGGGGGTAATCATTTTTTTTTCATAGTTTGCTGGCACTAAAAAATATGCCAATAAAGTAGTACTCCCTCCGTAGCTTAATTTAATGTTGTAGTAAAATGTAAAATTTATGATGAATAAACATAATTTACTTTTAATAAATGGCAACGACTGTTTTTCCATGGGAGGTAATTTTGATGGTTTAAAAACCCACGAGATGCCATTCTCGAAGATCAATGAGGCTTTTCGGCTGCTGGAGGAAGGGACATCACTTAGGTGTGTGCTACGTTTGTGATGACGAGCACGAGGAATTGCAAGTGTTGATCTGGTAAGGTTTTACCGCTGTTGTTGCTACCATTTATTGTTCATCTTATACACTGGAGTGAAGACGACTCATAAATATGTGTTATGTTCAATTGGGTTTTGCTCAACTATGAACTTGTAAGCCTCCATCGATCCACCTCCCGGTTTTTTATTGGCTTTTGTTTCGATTGTGTCACTTTGTGTATCTTGAAAATTCATCTTTCTAATATTTTGTGTTTAGATAATCTTTGTAAATGTGAGTATATGTTCTGCTATGTATGGCTCAAGGGTTGTGATCCGGATAGGATAGGTCATACTCCACACATTTAGGCATGAAATGTCAAAATAGCGTGCAGCGGACCGACCCAATAGGGCTCCAGTGCAGTTCATATCATTCCCGTGAAAACCGGTACCCATCACCCTATGCGGATATTAGCTCCCGAAGAGAAAAAAAACATTTGAAAAACCTGATTATTACCTGCTTCTGATGAAAAAACTAGTCGCATATCTTTTCTAGACTGATCAAACACAGTATATATATATATATATATATATATATATATATATATATATATATATATATATATATATATATATATTAGTATATTCCAAAAATGGTTATCCTTGTTTAAAAATTGTTCATGTGTCTAGAAAAAGCTTATGCATTACAGTATTCATGTGTTCTCAAAACATGTTCACGCATGAGGAAAAAATGTTCGTTTTACAATAAAATGTTCATGCACGACTAAAATTAATGTCATGCACTTTCAAAAACTGTTCGCACATTTCTCTAAGAAACAAAACACATAATGCGAAAAAATAAAATGAAAGAAAGGAAAAACACAGAAAAAGTTAGACAAATAATTCTAGAAACCAGAAGAAAACCTGGATGGAAAAGGCGAAGCCATGAAATAAGAAAGAGCAAATGGAAAAGAATGCTGGAAACAGGAAGAAAGTAAAACCAGAAAATGAAAATAAAATGCACGAAAAAAGTAAACCATAAGAAAACCATTGAAAAAACAAAGGAAAACGCGAACCAACTTGTGATTGGATGGTTAGATGGATTGTGGTATCCCTAACCAATAAGGGTTCAAATCCTGGGAGGAGATGTTCACATCGACGGCGTGGCGCCTTGGTTTTGGGAACCTTCTAGAAGGTTCCTGAATCGAGTTTTATCTTCTGGGTTTTTTTCTTTTTTCTTTTTCCTGTTTCTTTTTTTTATTTATTTGTATTGTTTTTTCGTTTTCCTGTTTATTTTTTCAAAAGTTTCAAATATTGTTCGGAATTTCAAAAGGTGTTCTCTTTTTCAATATTTGTTCAGTTTTTTCAAAAAAGTATTCAGGAATTTCAAAAAATGTTCTCATTTTCAAAATTCTGTTCAAAATTTCAGAAAATGTTTGCATTCTCAGAATTTTGTTCACAATTTCAAATATGTTCACGTTTTAAAAATGTTCTCATTTAGAAAAATTGTTCACAAATTGAAATGATGTTCATGTTTTCAGGAGTTTCAAAACACATGATCCAGTTCCAAAAATTGTTTACAAATTTTAAAAAACTTTCATGTTTTCAAATTTTGTTCGGGAGTTTCATATTCACCTTACCAAGTTTGATTTTGGAATTCAAAAAATTTTCCTTTTTAAAAACAATGTTCATCATTTTCGGAAAATGTTCTTTTTCAAAAAAGTGTTCATCATTTTAAAAAATGGTCCTGTTTTAAAAAATAGTCGTCATTTAAAAAAGAAATCACATTTTTCAGGAAATGTTTTGATTTTCCCGAAAATGTTTTCATATCTGAACGCGGCTTTGAGTTCTTACAGTGTTCACGCTACCTACAATCAGTTGAATCCATCTGCTCTAGTGGTGTGCCTCCCTCAACTGGAATCCGATGTTGTCAGCTCGAATCTTCATGCCCTTTCTTCTTTTTACATCTTTTTTAAATGATGCGCGTGTGGTCTACTGATGGGCTGGCCCAGTTCAGGCACCTGTATGGGTCGCCCAAACTATTTGCCGCAAAATGCGGTAAACAGGAGCTCCCATCTTGAGGTGTTTGTTGGAGCAACACTGTGCCGCAACGGGCCTAGAATAGGAATGAGGGCTCGCCTTCTTATGGGAGATTCTATATCTAGCTTGACGCAAGATAGACTGTAGCCTCACATCAAGCATGCTTATCCTGGGCCGGCCCGATAGTGTTAGTTCGTTATTTTCTTCTTTTACTCTTTTATTTCGTTTAAAATTTGAATATTGTTAATATGTTATTTATTGCAATTTTTTAATTAAAGGTTCATCACACAATAAAAAATATGGTGTAAAAAATTCATGCAGTTCTTAAAATAAATTCAGAGTATTTGAAAATATTGGTCAGATTTAAAAAATACTCACATATTTCAAAAATGTTTGTGACATTTATAAAAATAAATATAAATGTATTGTCTCAAAGTAGGCGAGACATAGCATTCGCGCATTCTACTAGGCTGTAGAATAGAAAAATCACGTTCACTAGTGGTGCATTGGCAGGCAGATTTCCCAATAGTGATTCACCACTTCTTCTTGCTGTATAGCTCATATTTACGCGTTTTGAAATGTATATTTACAGTCGCTAATAAAATGCGTAGTGGGCAGGCTTACTAGCGATCACGCAGGGCTCTTCATGCCCAAGAAAAGTAGCTAGATAGAAATCAATTGATGTCACTCCCAAAGGGGAAAGTATTTAAAACACCTTGCTCCTCTCTTCGGGAAAACTGCTTACTTGTTTTTTCTAAAAAAATATTGGTGAATAATAATGTTCGTGTATTTTGAAAAATGTTCGTGAATTAAAAAAAACTATGCACTTCAAAAATGATCCTGACTTTTAGGACAAAAATGAATTTTTAAAATTTATGTGCATTTTAATAAGATACATGAATTTTATTGAAGAACGTTCATGAATTAAACCACTAAAAATAAAATAAAATACGAAGAAAACCAGATATAAAATAAGAAGAAACTGAAAATAAATGCAAAGCTGGAAGCAAAGCAAAGCAAACCGGTAGAGAAAAAACAAAACGAAACATGTGCGCCAGATGTTTCCCTATTCACTACACATGTGACCGCCCTATGTGTAGTGAATATCTTTACTACAAACAAAGAGTATGCATTACTGAGAAAATGCTTATAGGTGACCCCTTATGAGTGGCGGGCATGATCAGACACCCGCCACAATTATTTTGAAAATTTTGCAATGGTGGGTGCTAGACATTGCTCGCTAGTTATCCCCGTAACAGTGGCGGGCACACGTAAGGACCGTCACTGCTAAACGCTTGGTAATTTTTTAGGGCAAAAAACAGCAGTGACGGGCACATGGAATCGCCCGACACTAGTGCCTCGCCAAGCAGTGGCGCGTGCTTCCTAGCGACTACCACAACTATATTTGGCTGAACCACATCCATCGGTTTTGAATTTCATCACAGTTTGCAAATGGCGGGTACAACTGGTTACCATGCATATATAGATGTGGCGGACACTATCAGCCGCTCATCACTTCTATGTACAACTTTATCCACTGTGCCCCCACCCGCAGCTAGTCAGATCT